CCTTACACACAGTAAGTATTTCACTCGTTTATTTAGTAAATGTGTACATTCCATTTTATCATAAAAATAATGTCATGTCGGCTTCTCTTTTTCTTCCCAAAATTTTATGACAATTTCAAATTTCTGTCTTTACTTACTAACTTCTCATTTCTTCAGAAAAATGGCGTTTCTAATTTTACCCGAAAAGAATTAATGCTTTTAAATTGTCCTTAGTAACAATTCCGGTTTTTTTCTATCCGATTTTTGATTCGTGCAGTTTATTTAAATGAATGTCCCCAATTCCTTACATGTTAATTTTGCAAACTGTATTTTCCGAAGACTGCACTGCTGAACAATTAGAGAAAATATTTGCAATTTACTTAAAATATGTTAAATAGGACGCAATCTAATCTTTCTATTCAAGGAGTGTACTATCCGAGGTGAAATAATTTTCAAATATGATAAATCATTTGCTTCTACGATTATATTTATTATAAACTTAACACACACTGGTACTAACTGTCACGTGGATAAAATGCAAATGAGGCATTAAGCTTTCATGATCATAATAGCATTTTATTCTATGCTGACATCGAAAATCAATCATCCGAAATGTTATGAAAAATGGAAATAGGTTAAAATTAGCAAGTAGAAAGGAAGATATGTAAATATTATAAAATACTTATCATAAAGGATGAATCAGGTGAAGAAAGGAAAGAGGTTAAAAGGGGAAGAAGAGAAAATGAGAGAAATGCATAATTATAAATCTTGAAAGAGTTCAAAATATTCCTCGCCAAATTTAACCAAATCACCTCCAATCATCTCCCCATCATCATCATCATCATCATCATCATCATCATCATCATCATCATCATCATCATCTCTCTCTCTCCCCTCCAACAATTATAATATCCCCAATAAATGGATGGAACGTTTCTTCCGTCCAAATTTCCACGTACACGCGCACATACAAAACTAAAAATATAATTTGCAATTTTGCAATTTTTGGAAGTTCTCTTAACCATTGATGTAGAAAGGGAGAGAGAGAGAGAGAAAGAGGAAGGGAGAGGAGACACTCCTCTCTTTTCCTACCAGCAAAAAAAGGATTATTTCCGTTCTAACCAGTAACTGATTTTACATTATAATAATGTTTTTATAAATTTGCTAAAAGATAATTTCAGGAAGTTGAAAACGAATAGTCTCCAATGGAGATGATAGTTCTGTCGAATATCAAAATGACATTAAATTGTAAATTCCGATATAATGACTGCGAAATGATAACAAGCAATGAGATTAGAAAAGAAGAGAGGAGAAAAAAGTTCAAATAAAATTAGAAAGTTAAAAGTAAAAATTGTATTTCTCCTGATATGCAGTCTTTTTGAGATAAAATCTAAAATTATCAATTTTTTTTAAAATTATCAACTCTGGTAATCGGTAATTCTAAAATTATCAATCTACACTTATTTATTGTTTAATCACAAAAATTAGTCCGTACAAAACCATTAAAACTATTTAGAAAATCGCATATCAAAAATGTTCTTTTTTTGCACATATTAAAATGACACGTTTGTTTTTCAAGGTCGTTTTATAAAACTATGAGGTGTAATATTAATTCCCCCAAAATTCTTAAAATTAAACATTATATTATCACTGTTATCAACTTCAAGTTTCAATCATTCTCTAAAAGAAATGCAGCGAGAATGGAAATATTCCTTCATTTTTTTCATTATTCACAGATTAATTAAATGAAATCAAATTTCTACTTCGTAAATTTATAATTTCAGCTTTAAAAATTTTTTCCAAAATATTTTTGAATTGAAAATATGAAATATAAGTATATCATAAACATTTAAAACAAATTATTGTTTAATCCCTTTTATTAATTTAATTTTTATTGAAGAAAATATTACATTTGTCCCTTTTTTGAACTCTTGCTGTTTTTTTTCCAATCACAAACATAAGTGATATGACAGAGTGATATAATAATGAGTCATAAACAATAATTATCCTATCTCTCGGGAATTGTCAAATACACGTAGAGCGAATATGGTAAAATTCAATATAGATTGGCTGGTATGAAAAAACGAAAAGGAACTTTTAAAAATAATTTGAGACTGTAAAAAACATTTTCAATTTTTCTCGTATTATTTCATTCGTTGTACCGAGAAAGAAAATGTGAAATCTAAAAAGTGAGAAAGTTGAACGAATGAATCACCAATGGTTTGTAAGCATGAGAAGAGAACTTGAATAAGAAGAATGGATAGAATCAAAAAGCGCGCTACAAATTTGATATTTTCTATTGGGAATGAAATGGAATTGTTATTTGTAAACTCTTTTGTGGCATCTCTAAATGAATTGCTCTCTGTTAGAGGGAGGGGGAGTATTATTTTACATTCAATCAGTATTGTATTGTATTATATTGCAAGAGAAATAGAGGGAGATTCCTAAAATTTACATGAAAGTTTGATAAACAGAAAGTAGCAAAACCAAAATCAATTTTTGTCAGTTGAATGTTTTCATAACTAATAATTATGTTCCCATTATTTTAAATTCTAAATTATGGGGCAGCATTTGCCTGTCCAATACCATTTATAGTTTATTGCATTCACTTATTAAGTTCTTTAATTATTAAATTACTTGACAATGATTTACATAGTGAACAAATCTTCCTTTCTTCAATTTTCATCTATCAATCTTTCCACAAAGTCAACAATAAACACAACACCGCCCACTCATTTCCACATCACTGAGTACAGAGAGACAGTAAGATTTGAATTGAAGGATGTTAGCGAAACTAATAAATATAAAAGACGCAGCGTACGCAAAAAAAATTATTGTAACTATCATATGATCAAAAATTTTGATGTTATTTAAACTACATAACTTCAAGTTCAAAATTTCTAGCAAAATATTGATCCGCAAGAAAAGTAAACTCAAAACTTACACGTCGCACAAATTCACCAGGTCGAGGCCAATTCGGTGGCCAGTCATCCCAATCACGATACCAACGATCACTATTCCAAAATGAATCACGCGAACGTAACGTTGCACGATCATCACGCCATTTATTTTCAACGAGCGTCATTTTCTTTATCGGAACTATATGGGATGTTAACGGAAATTTATTGACAATTAACAATTACATAACGCAAATAAACACGAAAGGACACAATTTAGAAACTAAAATATTGAATGTGCTCACGATGATAATTTGTTTCTAATAATAACATTCGTTAGTAATAATAGTAAGATTAAAATGGTGTAATCAATAGGTGTCATTCAATTAGTTGCCAAAAAGAGAGTAAGAAATGTAGGAAAATAAGCCTTAAGTGAAGATGGGAGAACATTTGACATCAGTCAACCGTGAAATGAAGCGAAGTGTGATGAAAATGGTAAGAAGAATAGAAGATTCCCGAAAAAGTTAAAACAACTTTCCAAAATTCTATCGTTTTATCTGAAAGTATGAAATCCGAAATATTGTTGACACACTTTTTCCTGTTTCTTTTTTCGTTTTGTCTTTTTCCTCTCTTTCCTCTCTTCCTTTTTCTAATAATCGATTACATCTGATGAAAGCACCATACAAAAATCACAAGGAATAATATGAAAACATTATGAAATAAAAACAGGTCCTGGAAAATAGTCTTAAACATTAATTGTTTTCTGCGAATTTAATGCGATTAAAAATTGAAGATTAAAGATTAAAACGATGAGGATGCTCTTCGTCAGTTCAATTCAATAAGAGCGGAATTTGAGAGCATTCTAACTTTTATGATCTTTAGCTGTGATGAATGCAAATTATTTGCAGCATAGCTCGATTCTAAAAAATATTCTTTGCAAATTTTTATTATATTCGAACGGCATAGGTCATGACCAATGAAGTACCATCTTTCCTGATACTCTTTATTCTTTCTAAAATTTTCTATTTCTACAAAAAAATAGTAACATTAGACAAAAAAACGTGGAACTTTTCACTTTTGCTCTGCATTTGAACTAACAAATTTAATTCAAAAAATTTAAATGTCATAAAGTAAATAACACCATTCGAAAGAATGAAGTACAAATACTATGGGAAAATGCATTTTTGTTGCGTAACACGTGAAACATGAACGTACGTGAAACACTGATGTTATCGATTGCCACTTTAAAATACTACTCGCATTTTTAGCGTGCTTTTTTTAATCTTTGCAACAGCCTGGTAGAATGCTTATAATAATAGTTAATATTGCTTAGAGCAATAGTTAATAATAACGCTTATAACAATAGTTAATATTAAAATAGAACTTCTTAGTCTACTGATAAGTTGCCAAATAAATGAAAATATTCTGAGCCTTCTCGCCAACAGTTACTTTTAACTACTATAATAATAAAGTAATAGAAGTAATTTATAGCTGAAAATTTGTGTATGAACTTGTCAGATTGTCGTTGTCTTTTCGTTCTCTGTTGTACTTTGGAGTTTGACGAACGATGATCGGACGCTTTTGTTATTCCTTTCACTTTTCCCCTTTCGTATATATATAATTTTACTGAAATGCGTAAGTGAAAGAATCGAATGGAGCAAAGTATAGGAAAAAGGACTGCCCATTCAGGTTTTCTACTTCCGGATTTCTCTTAACTTCCCAATTTCATAACTAATGACTCATTCTAATTCGATGTAATGAATGTGGAATATAACATTTCTTCAACAGAAAAGTCTCATCGCTTTTAATGCTTACTGTTACTCATTTTTTCATTTATGATGATTCATCTATTTCTTAGAAAATTAACGTATTTTCAGTCAAAACAAATTTTTTTGATTTTTTCAAACTTCTTTTCAAAGTGTTGAAATTCTTGGTGTGATATAACATAAAATATGCAAAACGTTGAAAGGAAATTTTTTAAATAATTGTTGAAACGAATTTTTTTCTCTCTCTTTCTCTTCTTCTCTTTCACAGTCCAGAAATTATAAACAAAAATTAAACTACTAATCTAATTAACATATTCCAAAAAACTTCATCTTTTCAAGATCCTATCGAATTTGTCTAATAGAGCTATTTTTTTTCAAATTTTATTCAATTACTATATCAATTTGTATTCAGTAGAATCCTTGTAGACTTTACAAATTAAAATTGAAAAGTCTTAAAGCAATAATAAAGGACATTTTTTTCAGGCTGTAATTGGTGCAGTTTAAATTCCTTCTCGCTATTTCGTTTATATGAAGCACAATAAATTCTAATTAGAAAAGAAATTTTCTAAGAAATAGCATATATCCTCGGCCTTTTATATCAACTTCACTTGTTCAGTAAAATGCAATTTAGAACGAAAGATTATGTGATGAGGTATGAAAGAATTAGTGGAGCATAAAATGTGAATATAAAACGATCAATTACGTCGATTTCCATTCCTTTTTTACTCTCTTATTGAGAGATCACGATATGATCACAAAAAATTCTGCATATTTTTGAAATTGAAATTGCACACAATTCATTTTTCCATATTGTTTTAATTACCGCTGATAAGTTTCATTTTTTTCAACTAGTTACAGGCGAAAATTTTGCTAAATCGGAAAGAAACAAATTAATCGATAACAACTGAAACTTGTAAATAAGTTTGACTGTGAGAAGGAAAAACGAAAAGAGATTTAATATCAACCGTTTCTGTACTGAAAAATCAAAGAACAAAATTTCATTCCCATAATAGATTTAATGAAGATTTTGAATTGACTACTTAAAAAAAGAATTTTTTAATTTGATAATCTACGAATAAGTCAGTTATTTCAATTAGTAATATTTTAAATAAATATTAAGTAATATTAAATAAAAAGACAGTCGTTGAGCAATAGCAATTAGTCTAAGTGCGCTTTGGAGCTTTCTAAAAATAAAGATTAGAGAAAATCGAGCAAAATGCATTACTTAAAAAAAATGTTCCCATTTTTAATTTTTTTTCTATTGATTTTAAAAAAGAGCTCTTATAGCAATATGGTTGCTAACTGCGACAGCCACGATCGGAGCAACTGTCACCACATCAGTTGCCCTGTTATTATCAGTTGTCAAATAATTTATGCTCTTCATATTACGATGCTTGGAACAATTTAAATCAATATGAATAAACAAGTGATATTTAATTGTCATGCTAGGTTTAAGCAAAAAAATTAACTGCTAGATTTTAAAATTTAAATTGTTACAGCAGTATTCTTCATTTCAAAACGATCAAAATTACAAACAATTTAGAAACTGACATAATCAGATTATTTTCGTATAAAATTCATATTCAAACTGAAATAATTTTGGCCAACCCAAGTTATAACATTTACTAATTAATGCACTTCGTATTTGAACAAAGATAATGAATCTAAGCTGTTAGAATTGAAATAATTTCAACAACTCAAATTATGAAAGCAAGCAGAAAGTTAACGATTATAAAATAAACTACATAAGCAATTTTCGAGAGATTTGTAATAATAGAATAAAAGTTATTAACTGAAATTGAATTCGAAAGAAAAAAAGTCAAAAAAGGGTCGACATCCATTGTTCGTTACAAAAAATGGTTGACTGATCAATTAGAATTCAAAAAAAATCAAAGTTTGAATTCATGGAAATAAAATTATTTTTTCATGGAACAGTAACCATGTTTCTTTGAGTTACATTTAGTTATGGAAAGAAGAAAAATATCATATGATTTCAACATATTGCAAACAAAGCTTTTTAAATTTCATCGCTTTTTTTGTGATTTAGATCACATTTTCCAAAGTATGATTCAATAAAAATGTATGAACATCGACCAATTCTGTTTTAAATGTCAATCTTTTTTCAGAAATGACCAAAACGCAAACTTTAAATTTTAAAATTTCATCATTTTTTTTGTAATTTAGATTACATTTTATAATGTACCACACAATGAAAAGCGTTTTTTGCTTCCGTTGATTTTGTGAGGACTTGCAATTTTCGAGAGATTTGCATTAATAGAATAAAAGTTACCAATTGAAATTGATTTCAAAAGAAAAAAATTCAAAAAAAGAATCGAAAAGTTCCGATGAAAATGTAAAATTTCCATGGATGAATTCATTTGCAAAAGAATATACAAAATGAAGTATTATCGACAATTTGATAATAGCATTGATGAATTGTTCAATTTCAATTTTTATTTTAAAAAACGAACACAAACTGATATTTAGCATACATCGATTCTAATTTGATGTAAACATACGTTTGGCTCAAAATTCAAATGACAGATGTTAGAAAAGAAATCTAACCAAATACACGGAAAGAATTGGTTTGATTTTGATTTTTACGGTACACACTCAAATGTATCTTTCAACAAAACCTTACAATCAAACCGATCAAGTTGGTAACAGCAATTAAATATAATTTGAATAAAATTGACACTCGTGGTGTTTTTAGATGATCTTACTTACGCTATTTAAATTCAATTTACACAAACTACATTAAGCACTATAACTTAAAATTTTATTCCATAATGAATTCAACACTAGTCGGAATACTATATGGTACAAATCATCAATCATAACTGATAACACGTTAACAACATATTTGTTATATCACTTTCCTTCCTTCACGTTTTATCAGTAAAAATATTTTTTTTAGTAATTTCTTCAATATTCAAAATTTTATAGATGATCAAATGATAGCAGCTGTAGTATCAGTAGTAGCATCATCTCTCAGTTTTTACTGATGCTATGGCTGCTATCATTTGATCGTCTATAAAATTTGAATATTGAAGAAATTACTAAAAAAAATATTTTTATGCGTATGATTTCGTCAAAAGTAAAACTTTTTTGTTCATTTAGCCAACATTGAAATGTCTCTCCGTTTAATCCATTTTTAATGTTTTTTTGTTGTTAGATTTTTTTTTTAATTCATAGCAGTGGTAGTCTAATAATATCTTCCAATATGTCAACATTTGAATTTCATGTAAAATTAGATTAATGTAAAATTTATTTATTCTATGAATATTAATAAATAAAAAATGAAGCTTTTTAAGATAATTTGTATAGCCAGAATTTGCTTTTTTCATCTTACATTTTAGAGTCATTATATTTTGCTTGTGTGTATATTTATTTTATTTGTATCGCTAATAATTGTATGCATAAGCATTTTTATTCGATGAGCCAAGAACTGAAATAATATTATACAGTTAGCAATTCAACTATTATTTAAATAAGGTACAACAATAATTTTTCTGGTTCAAATTTTTATCGTAGTATTTCGGAAATGTCATTTAACCATTCGATAATAAAGAAAAATTAGAGAATTTCTACGACAGTTTGAAACAAATTCTCATGATCTTTTAATATTCTGCACAATTCTTTCCAGAAAATGTATAAATTACATTTTAAATTCATAGCAATCCTATTCTCAAAGCAACAAAATCAGTTCCAGGCTGAATTTTTTTCATTTGTGTTTCAAGTTGTGTCTTATAAAATTTTTATCTAATTTCTATTAAAATTATTTATTTAAAAAGGATCAGGTCGAAAAATCAGGCGCATTTCATTTTAAAATTCAATTGTTGTGATTTAATAATCTTAACTACTCACAAATTCATGAAAAAAATTACTTTGTTGCTAGAAGGAAAATTTTAAACTACTGATTTTAAAGCACTGTATTATCTGTCGTACAATATCAACTAGAACTGATGCATTTTCAAAAGATAATTTTTCGAAATTTGGAATTTTAAATTTCAAATTGAAATCAACAAAATGGAACACTTAAATTTGTTGGATTCAGTTATATTCAGAAAGAGATAGAGTGAGCAGCATGAAATGATGGTGTGAGTTTTAAACATAACTACTCTAAAATAAGGTGCATGTCCTATGGTATTACTCATACCAACAATATTTGCGTCAAACTCCGCATCAGTACTTCATACGATTTATAACATGCAGACTTGCTAGGCTTCCTTCTATCTTCCGTAGAAGTAATGCAACATTCCAGATAGTACAAATTTTATTTTAGTTGCGAAAATCGCCACTCACGTATAAGTAGTCTGGCATCACAAGATGGCATTCCCCTGACCAATTCTCGTTCTTTATTTTTCGTGATAGGTTGAAAAGAATCAATATCACTTAGAAATTTCGATAAATTAAATGATCGCAAATATACTCCAAGCCTCCAATTGGCATCATCTTACACTTCTTTATCTTTTTTCGTTATCAATCCATAAAAGATATCAAACAATCCAAAAAATCCTTGCCTGACCCCTCCAAAAAATCCCAAAAAATCTTGACTAGACATTGTCCTTAACTTTTTCAGCAAAAATCAAGCTCGCAGAGACTTTAATGCTCCGTTGATTAGAGAGCGAGAGAGATGCTGACTAGCAAAGTTGGAAAATTATGCTGATTACAGTTCCACACCTAATTAAGCTCCATTTATTGATTTCTATTGCGCATAGCAAAAGTTTTATTTATGATATTGTTAGAGATGCTCCAACAGTATGCTAACCATAAAACAGAATGAGTAAAGGTCGATGAAAGCTTTCTCCTTAAGACGATGTCTTCACGGTACTATTCCATTATAACTTGTACCTCTATATCTCTATGAAAATTTGTACAGAGATTTCGACATATCTGCTGAATCGTACTTATTTAGCAATTACAGGAAGTTTAGTTCAAACAACCTTATGACACCAAAGGATCTGGAAATTTGAAAACCTTTGTGCCTTGAAAAGAATTCGCATACTGCAACAATATAATGCAACAATCACAATAATAATCACTTAAATGTGCAAGCCCAAATGCGTAAAGCAAAATTAGTTCATCGAAAAATATATCATCACAACTTACCAAAACAGAACTTTTTTTGCAAAATACAGTAACGGTTTTACAATTGCAGACAAGAATAATTGGGAAAAAAATGATTGAGAGATAAATCAAACTACCTTCATAACTTAACATTTCGTAAACTACACAAACTAATAAATGGAAAAAATTTTTTTGGATGAATGGACTTTTGATGAATGGAAAAATCATTTTTGCACTGGATTTTCAGATGAAAAGTGTTCATGTCTCATCAATACCACACATTAAAGGTGGACAATAACTAGGAAGAGGTGGCTATTCAAGATACTGCGACTTCTAAGCTTAACAAATATTCCCTAAAAGCTGACCACTACGCATTATTAAAAATATTCTCCCGAGAATTAGGTAGTGGAAAGTAACTTCAGCTAGAAACAACTCAAATTATTAATATTTAGAAAACATAGACCAAGAATCATCATTTCAAATATATAGACTGAGTGCAAACACGAAACTTTGAAACTAATAATTTCATAATACAATACTTTGTGGTACTGTGCATCAAACTATTCATAGCCCAAATTTTCTTCCTCTTCTTCTTCATATACTTCTTCATACTGTTGTTCTTCGGAAAGCTGGTCCTGTCCAACATCCTAGATTACATTAATCTCATTCAGGCAAAGTAATCTTTATAATTTAATAATCAACTATTTAAAATGCAGGTATTGTGAGTAGAATTCTTATACATTTCACGTTGGTGGTTTCCAATACCTTTGAACGAATATAACGTCATATTGAAATATTTGAGGAAAGCTTAACAATTCAAAATCTATATTGTTGCCAACAAAGAGTTGTGGATATCTCTAACAGTAAAACAAATAACCAACATTATTTAGTAAGATATTAAATAACTTTTTTGACACTGCAGTGAATTTTAAGAAAAAGAAAATGCCGGAAAAATAAAAAGAAAATACCTGCACGTTGTAAGCAACTTGTCTATTTGTATTAAATGCTCTCTGCTGTGCATTACCTGAACCTTCTTGTGGTATATTACAGCGTTGCACCGGTGCACGAGTGGTACGGTATCCGTTTGGGTCTGCTGTTGTCTGTTTCTGGAAAAAGTTGTGCCATCAGACAAGAATTATAAAGAATTTTCTGGTGTATTTGCTTGCAAAAATTAAATTAAAACAAGATAATGAAAAATAACTGAATCCGAGTCCGTCTGAAGAGTGTTAGTACCGGTAACCGCATTTCGTGGAAGAACAGGTGGAATAACTCGAGCTGAAGATGAGGTTAAACGCTTTGGTTGGTGGTAGCCTTGTGGAATATTAGCTGTTGACTGTTCAACGCGTGGTCCAGAAGCTATGGCGTAAGTCCTGAAATTCAAGTTGAGATTTTTTTTACAAATCCTAATTAATAGAATATTTCATAATTTAACCAATAAAATATCCATGCATTTAATTTGGCATGATGTACATAAAAATACAACGAAATAATATAAATTTACTGCTTGTTGTCTTGCGATGTGTTAACATTTGAAATAATATTCGATGAGATATCGTAGGCGCCATTATTCCACGTACCTATAGAAGAGAAAAGATAAAATATGCTATTACTGTTGCATAAATCTGAATTTACTAACCTTAAAAAGATATCAATTTCTCATAGATTGTGATAATAAAGATTCATCGCTGATCTCTTCTAAAACTCAAAAGACTCACCATCAATAATTTGGTCGACATAATCGCGAAGACAAAGGGGCAAATACGACTTGATTTTATCACGATCAACATCAGTCACTTCACCGCGATCTAAGCCATAAGCAAGTCCAAGCCTCTTAAGCACTTCTATATCATCGTGAATTTCGAATGGTTGATCGAAATTGAATAAATATTCGGTCCTTAAAATTTTAGACTTCATAGACATAAGCTGAAATCAATCCTAATTTACATACATGTGTTATAATAATAAACTTTAACAGTGGTGATTCTATGAAATTATGGAAAAAAAATCACAATGAAAAAAAATAGCGATAAAGTTTTTGAAGATAAAAAAGCTATCTTGGGATGATTTAAAGAAAATAACGAATAAGAAACAATCTACTTTAAGCATTACGTATTTTAAATTTATAAAAGTATCCCTTTTGCTGACAGCTTTCCTGTCCAATACTTCGCTGCAAGTATGAATATAAATAAAAATTTTAGTTATACAGTCATATATAAGAGTAATCACCCATTCATAGTTTAAGGACTGATAAATCAGAACTGCGATTCCGAATAAGCAACATAAAAGCAGAGAGAGACTGGGGTATCATATTTCGCAGGAAATGTAACAAAAAAAAGCTGCAAACAAACTTGTCATGCGAGATGGCACAGTCGATGAATGTTTTCTTTGCTGTGTTTACAATGATGAATGGCAAATAAAGTATTGAATCTTCCATTGGACGACCATTATCACGTTCCAGTTCGCGATTTTTTTCCACCAAGGTTTTGTAAGCGACCAGCTAAAAAGATATTGTGAAGTATGCATAAAGCTGAAAAAAAAATTCTCATGTCAATACCATACGTAGTTCAATACAAACGTAAGTTAAATAAAAAATCCCACTTCTGATACTAACTTGGTATCATAATTTTCTACGTCAAGAGACAGAATTTGTAAATTTACAATTCCAAAATTATGAAGCGAGATGTCAACAACTAAGAGATTTGGATTTTTGTAAGTTCAACTTTGATAAACTAGTTTATAAATAAATGCGTTTACCTGTATTATGAGTTCCTGAAGCTGATCGGACTTATGACGTATTCGTTCTTGTCGTTTCGCTTTTTCTTCCTCTAATTTACGACATTCCTGTACAGAAGATGTTGGTAATCCAACCCATCGAATTTCTTTCTTCTCTTTTTCAATGATATTCATAGCCATTAGCACATTTAATGCGTCGTAGACACGGCGTCGAATGTTTTTCATATCATATTGTTGTTTTTCCTGAATGTTTTTTTTAAAAAAAATCTTTTTACATAACTGTATAAAATGAACATGTAAAATTGAAAATAAGTCACAATTCTTAAATCATGATAGTCTTTAAAATCATGATGCTTTAACTTTAAGAAAACTTTAATTCAAACCTATTTTCCTCTTTTTATCCATAAAATTATATCCCATCCATCTTTTGAACTGACATGAATTTTAAATTTTATAAAAATTTGAGCCGAGTTATCCGGTAAGAAAAAGCACTTGATTTTCTGTTTTCGGTTAAAATCCATAAATATGATTTCTTGGAAAATTATGCTGGTCTCAAAATTAAACCATACCGTATCCATAGGCTGAACATCAGCTGAATCAAAATACTCGGAAACCAGCTCATCAGCTACCTAAGAAAGATTTCTTTAACAAAAATCAACTTCTTCATAAAAATCTTCAAGAAAAAGTATTTTGGAAATATAGTTCTGAGATACAAGTAAATTTAATAATTAGTTGAATACCATTTGGTACACGATAAAGTTTACAATTCTTATTTCTAGTTCAGAGCAAAGACACCGCTAATTTACCTGTAATAGTAACAAGTAGAAAAATCGGTAAAAAGATCGCCTCTTAAAAAGAAATTTAATAATAAGAGAGAAGAGAAACAACAATAATGCATGCCTCATTATAATTCGTATGTCCTTTTTCCTTCACTTTCTCACAAACTTTGGTACTGAAATGCCGCAAGCCTTTGGATTTATCGGTACTGCGAGGAAATTTCCGTATTAACTGAAGATCACACGCATAATTATTAGATAAGGGCCGCTTTGTTTGGTACATAGATGAACTACCAGCAGGATTTGTACTTATACGAGTGACTGGAACATAACGATTCGGAACTACCGCAGAAACTGACATAGATGGACCAATTGACGTATGTGTCGCCAGTCGTCTTACTGCTCCGGCTCCCTGAAAATGGATATATAAATAATAAAGCATTTAAGAGTCATTTAAATAATTTTTAAGTATACAATAATCTGAACAGTTTGTTCAACGAGAAAACTTCAAATAACATCTCAATAAGCATCTTCTAAGAAGGAATGGAGAAGGTCGGCAATTTTGTTTAATTAATAAATCACTGCAAACTGTTTGTTTATTCAACTGTTCCACGATATAAACTTACAGCACTATAATTATTCTGAGCAGACGATGTGACAACTCTGCGTGCTAAGTGAGTTGCAAGTTCCGATGGCGTGCTATTCGTTTCATCCATTATTCTTCAAATACAAAGAGTTAATTCACATTTTAAGACAAGAATGAATCTATCGAGAATGTGTTATGTCAAATAAATGATACGAAATAGAAAGGATATAGTAAAATATGGATATGAAGGATGCAAGTAGAAAAGCAATTTAGGACATGTTAACAGACAGTAGTTTTCAGAACACAACAGTTATCTATACCTGTAATTGTTGGATGAGCTACTTCCTAAAAGTCACGAGATGCAACCTCTTAGTCTGCTCTTCAAATAACCAGAAATAATTTTTTTAGCATGAAATCATCAAAAAATGTTAGCAAACAATAGAAACATACAAAACAACAATGGAATGCGAAAAAAAATAAAAATACTACCAGAATTAGCAATAATGCTTTAAAGAAAGAGATGCGAAGCGTATTGATAACAAAGAGATAAAAGTAAATAGAAGTGTATTACGTGTATCACTATAGCACATTACGTGCAGTATGTGCTGTCGCGCACGTGATACTACGGAATATCGAGTGTTACATGTTTAAGACGGCGAAAAACTTGACGCCTCCATCAAATGTCTGCTCACGTATGCACACGCGAACTAACAAAGACAGTGAGAGAGGGAGAGAGAGACAGAGAGAGCAGTACAATGGAAGAGAAACAATAACCATTCCATCTTCGATTGGATTCCATTTGCGAACGCGGCAAAGTTCAAAAAATAACCCCTTGCGAGAATTACTGCAACAGTTGAAGCGCAATAGTCCGGGTTACTGTAGTTAAGAGAGGGATTCAGAACGAAAATTTGGAGGAATTCGTGCGAAGAGCGATGATTTCGCAAATTTCAAATGGTCACACTGAAATTTCAGCACAGTCGTGAGATTCTGATCTGGGAAGGCTAGCGAGCTATACCTTTGCTTACATTAAAATGTCACCACACAGATATGCACATTTTTTCAGGAATTTCCATTTTGGAATTGTTTGAGATGTGCTGTTGAACGCTGTTGGCATAATTCGATGAAAATAAGGCTGTAAATAGGGGAAAGTTGCAATAATTATGTCATTTTTAGTATTTTGCACACTGCGAGAGGCAGCTTGTTCAGCTCCATGAATTACTAATCAGATTTGGTTGTACTGCGTAAGTCGTCCGTCGTAACTATAGCGGAATTCGCTGAATTCTTTCCGTTTAAGTTAAAATTAACCTCTTTCCGGAAATGTATATGCTAGCGCTTCTGTCATTTTCTCTAAACATTCCATGTCATTATTAAATAATCTAAATAATTATTAATTTCCTTACTGTTATACTAAAACTTTCACTTTTGCTGAAAAAATGACATTGAGGTTTGCTGAAAGTAAGAGACAAATTTAAAATTAAAGGAGAAAATAAGGACGAAATTTTTTGGAAGTAGGAAGTAAATTTCAAAAGAAAATGAGATCTAAAATCTTTGGAAAAAAGACGCTTTCGATGATTTATTGGCTTTGAAAAAATGATGGAAACAAATAATATTTGCTCATTGTGCAAAAGAAATGATAACAAAATACTTAGTTTAAAAAAGAAAAAACCGGAAAATGAATGAGCAATCAGAAGCAGAAAATTCACCGCAAGTATACGATGCTGAAGGTGGTGGTGGAAGTTTAAACATTGAAGCAAGCGCTGCAACAATCGAACGTTTGCGCCAAATTTTGGAACATCGAGAATCGACTATTGAAGATCTGCGACAAACAGTGGCAATATTAAAACATAATAATGCGGAACAAAGTGACGAAATTACTCGCTTAAAAGGTCTAAACAATAATCATAAGCTCGTGAGTTTCTCCACCTTTCCGTCTAGCTGATGCTTTAATGACCTCAGATTTTCCGTGCCAATAGTAATCTGTAACCGGTAAATACGATTTCCTTTGTTCCACCTACTCATCTGTTTTTCTCCCTTTAACGGATTCCTCTGATGTCTTCAAATTTTTTGATCAAAATCATTCTGTTAGGGTAATGTTCTGTTTCCAACTTATTATTTTTACAGCAAAATCCACTAATCTCTTTACCGTTTGAACTTATGAAGATGATCTTTTATCTGTGTGATGCTCTTACACGGTGTCGTATTTGCTGCATTAATAAAAGGTTTTTTTTCAAACAAATTTTCGATCGAATAATTACGCTAATTATCACTTTCAACAAAAATTAAATTAAACTAATTAGGGTGCGAAAAAAGCGAATTTCAGAAGAATTAAGTTGACAAATCCAAAGATAAATTTTTTATAAATGAATTTGACATTATTGGCTGACGTGAACTTTAAAAAATTGCTAATTAGTGCAGAAGATGCATTATGTGCTAAGTGTTGAATTTCCTGAAAAATTCAGATTGGCTGAAGAATTGAGCAATTGGGCCGATGTTCAGCATCTTTACTTGACAAGAGTACCAACTGAAGATGAAGCAAACAAAACTGTCTGTTTTTTCATTTTAAGATCTGAATATAAATATATTTGATAAAATTCGATCACAAAAAGTTCAGAAAAAAAACTTTTCAGGTTGTAACGCATGCCTATCAGGCTCTCACCAATTCTCCTACAGTGGGCGTAATTCGTACTACTAAAGCTATCCCAATGCTTTATAATTTCCGGTTATTTCTGTTCTCTTACTGGATAACACATTGGTTCAAAAATTTAGTTCCACATTTAACATGTTTTGATTTAAAAATTTGTTCACTAAAATATATTGAAACACTAATGAGCTAATCTTAATTTAATACATATTTTAACATGAAATCATATCCTCCAAATTTAATTAACTAAATAATTTAATTTATGATGTATACATATATAGTGGTTGACAAGCAGATTTTGTTTATTAACAGAAATATTTCGCAAGAAATAACAAAAAAATTCTCGAAGGATCAGAAAATAACTTTGCAGTAATGTAAAAACGATTTTGGTGGAATCTTCAACAATGCGATTTTTGGATCGTTGCAATAAGATATCAGTGGAAGAGGGCTTTTTTTCTTTGCTACGAAAACTGGAAACTGCCAAATTATGCAGTATACGAGACAATTTAAGATTAGAAATTTAAAATTTTTAAAACTCTTAAAAAAAGCAAATTTTTACTAAACAAAACATTTTATGAAAAAGTGCAAATTTTAACAAATTTTTTCTTAGCATAAATGTATTCAATTTTTAATGTGTTAAAAATATTCCATGCTGTTTATATGTATATATTAGTAGTAATAACTGTTTGATATAGAAGTAAAAATAAGTTTGACAAATTCAAATTAACTACTACTCTTAAAAAACTCATTTTTGAGATTAAAAATGAAAATTAATCATTTTATCCTATAACTATATGATTTGATGTAATAATTCCTATTAAAAAATATGGTTAGCAAAAGAAAAACGAAATTGGTCGAAAAATAAACTTAGAATAAATTTTCAGTCTTATTTATACTTTGAGCGACTTCCTCACATTACCAAATCTTCGTACACTCCATATTCGAGAAACGCTAACCTTAGCTGATGTTCCACCATTGGATAAAATTTGCGCTCCAATTGAAGATCTTCGAATTTGCACACATCGAATGCGTATCCAACAGTTACTAATCATATGTCGAGCTTTAGCAAGCACACTGCGACGTTTAGAATTGTTACTAACTGTTATCATACCAGAAGGAACTGCTACAGCTGAAGTAATGCATCTCATTTATCTAAAAATTTTATTTTAAATCAAAAAAAGAACCCAAACCTTAAAAATCATATTCTTTACGATGATTTCTTTAGCAAAAATTAACTTACCTGTTTAGAGTCGCAGTGCTGCTGTTATTGAAGTTGCAGAAGCAATGACTGCAATGGAACATTTAAATCATTTAACGCTTGCACGAACTTTTTTTAAGGTATGTTAATCAATAAATAAGTATACAAAATTGAATTAAAAAATTAAAACCGAAATTCACGCTTTTTTCCTATCTTAAAAAAAATTTCAGCCTTCAACAAGCGAACAAATATTTGGGCTATTGAAAATGTTTCATTCGTTGTCAACAATAACATTCGAAGCATTGATTTTAAATGATTTCGTACAACTTGCAAATGTTCATCTGCCGCTATCAGTAACTTTTTCAGACCATTCTGTTTATTTTTCCATATTTAAAACTTAGTTATAAAGGATTAATTGATCTTTTACAAATTGTTTGCGAAAGTTTTAGAGATATATTTCTAATTAGCAATAACAAATCTTTTTAGAATAATTATGCTTAAATGAACTTGCTAATACTAAAAATTTTGAGCATAGTTCATGATCAACTAGTATTGATGGTCTTGACAAGAATACCTTGATCATCAAAGTTTTCCAAGCAAATGTCTATCTTCAACCTCAGACTATTTAACAGTTTTCTGGTAATTTACCCAGGTAAAACGAGTGGTAGTAACAGAATCAATCAAAATCGATCCTTCCTGGTATCCACTTAATTCTACATCCGTGGAATTCTTTGACATTTTCAACGATGAAAGAATGCCTGTTAGTTCAATTTTTACAACACAATTTTTTTTTTTCAATCCTACCTGCAACGTATAAAAAACTACTATGCTTTAGATATTACAAGATGCGTGTCGTAGGGTACGACGTGAAATCACGTTCCAGCTCGGCCGTCTTCGTGGATTTGGGCCAGCAACTGTAAATTTCCAACTGAGTCTTGTACGAATTTTGGCCAATAAGACGTCACCGTTGCGTTTTGGAAATCGAAAAGGCGATTGCCGTGTATTTCTTTGGAAAGGACGTATTCTTACACGTAAGGAATACTTGAAAATGAATGATATAAATGGCGATGGGAGTATGTGACAGTTCACCAACTACAAGTGACAGATGCCAAGTATATGAGAAAAGTGAAGATGCTAAAGGTATGTGACAAGTGAAAATACTAAATGTGCATGATAAATGAAAAATTCAATAAATTATATTTTATTAAATCAACGGTACTGATCTATCTGACAACAAGTAATAGTGGAAGATTTGGAAGCTTTAAAGTGGAGCTCATTTACCGAAGTCTTTTAGAAAATTTTTTTTTTAAAAACTTTCGTGAAGTTCAATTCATTTTTTTGGTAAAATGATTGAAATGCTCATTTAAAATCGACAATATCAAAAATTTTTGTCAGCGATTTTAATAATAATAAAGCTCGAGCATGGAAGCAAATGCTGTTGCAACATTGTTGGAGAATCTGTTGGTTTTCCAGCCAAACCAGATTTTGAAATTTAGCAGTTATTTGAATTTAGGAAAAGAATCAGTTATTTAATGAGAGTTCACGCGACACAAATGTGTGAGAAATTGAAAGATAAACCATCTTTTTAACAGTTCCAATAATCACGAATTCATTTGAAATTTCGACTGTTGATAAAAGACAGCATCACCTGAATGCATCGACATTGAAAACTTTGCAGAGAGCAGTTTATTTTTTTGTTCATTACGGAAATGAATCTCATCTATCAATTATTATAAAAAAAGCTTGAAATTTTCATAATGATATTTCGAAATAACTCAATCTCTAATCAAATAATTTAGAAATTGAATTTTCAGTAGTCGAAAATGTTGGCAGTTATAATCAATTTTTATTCCACGTCAAAAGGATGGGTAAAGAAAAATGTAATTATGAAAATGGGCGGGTTCGTGAAACAGAAAGGAGTAGTTGAGGAGGTGAAACAGGATTTAAAGTATTTAAAGCAATTTTTTTTTTTCAAAACCTGATTCATAAAATGAGCATGAAATGTGAATACCAATAATTTTAGTAGTAATAGCAGTTGCAGTCTCCAAATCTGCCTAATTTCTTCACTGTTGCTAATTTTTTCTTCCTCCCTTTCTGTCGAGGGCTATTGACAAATTTAATTTGACGAAATGGTAATGAACGAAGGATAGTTTGATATTTCATTTTACATATTTTCCTTCAATTTTCAGCTCTACAAATACGTGTTTTTCTTTCATATATTTCACATATAATCAATTAATTGCTTTGCTAAATGGCAGCATTTCTTCTCTATACATCATAAAAAAATTTTACTAAAATTACGCCCAAAGATTGTGTAAGAATAGTTTCATTCTATTTTTCACTTCATAATTTTACTTTCATAAAATTTTTTGTAATTAATGTCTTCATGTTTATTAATAGCTTTGCAAAATATATAGAAACAATACGTACGCAAAAATTTCTACTCAATCAAAAAAAAATTAAGCTTAAATATCCCATCCACTCAAAAAATCAAATTTAATTATCTCAGAGAATAAATAAGACAGTGATGATATTGTAAATAAATTTGGATGTGTCACGTTTTTGTTTTCTTTTCTCATTGTCAATAACCAATACCTATTGCTAAAACTTTGCTAAATTCAGTACTTTCTTTGAGTATTATATTTATTTGAATTCTTTTTAAGATATTCGAAGAGTTTTTTGCAGAGTAGAAAAAAAGGATTGAAATATTGGCTTATTTTAACAACTCAAAAATTTGAAAAAAATCGAAAACCCTCTTAAATTTAGTTTTTATTGCGACTTATTAAAACATGTGGAGAAAAAGAAAGTTTGGCAATTGGGAAATAACGTAGGAAAAATATAAAAAGGAATTTCACAATTAAAATTTTTTGTTATATTTTAGAAAAATTCGCAGCAAATTTTGATTGTAGCGAAAAAAGATTTGTAGCAGCCTTTGCTACGAATTTTTTATAGTGTCCTTCCTCCAACTTTTTAAAAAAAATAAAAAATAAAATTATGGATATTCATTACTTTTAAAAAAAATAAAAATGGATATTCATGAAATTTTCAAGTGAGGGATCTAAATCAATGCTTTGATCATACTACTTTGATTTCTTTGACAAAATCTCAAATTAATTTAAACTCGTTTGAAGAATAGTTCTTGGATAATATGTTCATATTGTCATCAGTTGTCCTTTATATATCCACCAAATTCGTGCATGGTGAAGATATATCAATGATGGAAGAAAGTGTTAAATTTGACTGTTCTCGATTGCCCATCACATATTGCTGTACAACACGTGTCCGTACAACCTGTAAAGTGCAATGTTCTACTATCCGTTGCGATTCAGGTTTCTACAAACGAGGTTTGCTAGCTTACCTTCTCGATTAGCAATTTCCATAATGCATGCAAATATAAACTTGCTTGCTAACTGCCGCATAACTCATTTAAAACAATGCAGATAAAAGCACAGTGACGAGTTCTACAGTAAATCACTGATTATATGAAATTTAATTTGGTAATTTTAAATTGACGTAAAATTCTTGTTTCATTACTTGCAAATGCCAATTCCAATACCATCGCTCGTTTATTCGACAAAACGCATTCTGCAGCTAATGAATCTTTGGTGCATTCTGTCGCAGGTTAGTTTTAAACTTACAAAAAAAAATTTAATTTTGCTTCAAAAGCTTCTTTTATCAATCTTATTTTCAAAAAGATGAAATATTCAGATAAAAAATTGAAGCAACTGGTAGTTGGACCACAAACGATTTATAAAAATGGTTTGAACGATGGTGACACTGCAGATTTACACAGTGGCATTCAAATGGTACCTCCTTTGGAATATTTTGTCATACAATATATAAAATTAAACATGTGAGGTTAACATTTCGATTCTTATGCAAAATGCGACTCGAATCGATGACAGTTTGATTTTCTCCTATTCTTGAAAGCTTATAATGAGCTAAAATAAAAATAAGATAAAATTTGAAAGGATTAAAATTTCGCAGAATTTCAGCAATATTTAAGAAGCATATCACAATATCACCATGAGAATCACAATGATGAATATGACTAAAATAACTATCCCATTATCATCCTTCCTTCTTTTTCCTTCTTTCATTCTCATTAGTTTATTTCAAAACTTACTAGTAAAAACCAGTAATATATCATTTATATTTATCGTCATTTTAATTTTAATTTACTGCTAAAAACATTGTAAAAAAATTAATTATTCAAATTTTTAATAATGGTTAGTAGAATCGGTACAATATGTGTTAATATATTTGTGTTTTTTATTATTTCTGTATATTAGAATGCTTATTAAAAAACAGTAATAAATGGTAACACTAATAATTTAAGTAATCTGTTAGATCTGTCTGGTTATTAATGGTTATGATATCACTTGCAATCAGGTACAAAATGATGAATTCAAATAATATCTAAATTTAAGCTTAATATCCAAAAACATAAAAATAAACAACGCATTATAATATTATGACACAAAATTTTGAGATGTTTCAGAAACGGACAAACCGAAAACCGTCACCTCAAAACTTATCCAAAAAAATGTACTTACCAGCTCCGACAAGCAGTGACGAGAATGAATCATTGGTCAATATGTCAAGTGAAGATATTAGCGTGATGCCATCTGTCACAGCAACAGTGTCATCATTTAATTGTGGCCTGGAACCATCTTGCATCACAGAGCCTCAAGTATTAATTACCACAGAACAACCAATCAATACATTCATACCAGGTTATACTTATTCTTGTCTTAAAATTTGATTGGTTATGTCAATATTTTGCTTGTACTGCAGTATCCATACTTCATGAATTTATATCATCGTTTGAAGGATTAAATCCTCTTAATTAACAATTATCTGTCCATTTCTGTATCATTCTCGTTTCTATGTATTTTCAAATCCTATTATAGTTGAAATTCCCATACAGATTTTTTCATTTTTCTAAAATGAGGATTTGCGAGAAATATTTTTGCTTGAAAAATCTAGAAAAGATAACTTATTTATCTTTATTTCATTTTTTTACTATTCTGCTTATGATATTATCGGATGGGATAACAATAAGCTATAATTGTTTAGATATTTAAATATTAATCATTAATATTTAAAACAAAAAATTCCTCTCATTTTTAACAATAAAGTTCTTTAGTTCGGGAAGGCTTACAAAGAAAACATTGGGAATTACGTTCGTTTAATATCATACATCACCTAATTCCAACATTAAATTGGCCAAATAACCATAATTTCATTGGTTCCAATAGCAACATGGCTGAGTTGAAAAAAGGTACGAGAAAGCATAATTTTATTTAGTGAAATTATTTTTAAGACCTCCCTACTTTAAAAGGAAAAAAAGTATGGAATATTCCATTAAGTAATTGCAATTACTAATAACTAATGATAATGACAATCGTATTAATTTGAGCTCTAAAAATTATAAATATAGTAATACCACAAACGGTTTTTTTTTCCAAAGTGAAATATTGACAGAACAGTGTGGCGTAGCACCAGAATTTTCCCCATGCATATCAATTTCACAAGCAAACATTCAATTCGAACAATGCTGTCGCAATAAATTCCTTCCCTCCAGCTGTCAACATTCCTGTAAATATGTGAAGGAAAGTGAGGTAGAACACTTCTATTTTATTAACAATGCACTATCATTATTTTATCAGACACTAAATTTTCAGAATATGTTTGTCTTTTTTCTTGAGCTTTCATAAGTGATTATGGTAAATGGTAAATAATAGTTTTAAATCGTAGGTAAGCACGAACATCGATGTAAGTGTTTGCACAATTCTACACATCATACCGATCGTTCAGTGCGCTTCAAATGAACGCGATAACAGTGAGTGTTGCAGGTACAAACAAATAACTGCCAAGAGGTAATATATAAATCATTCAATAAACAAATTTAAATTAATTAACTCCGGATTTTCGTGAGAGATAACGAAACATTCCTGAAAGGATTATAGCACGATATTAGGAAAAGAATGGGCTTGCTTTTGGAAACACTGATAAGGAAGAAGTTAAGATCAAGTCATAGTAGTGTCATTTATAAATATGTAAATGATAAATGAAGAGATAAATACGTAAATGAACATTAGTATTTATTTGAATGTTAATGTGTTGTTTAAGAAAATCATGAATTGCAGTGCGCCGCAGTGTGAAATATTTTGTCGTTCCGGACAAGAAATTACGAGACTTGGTCTGGAACACTTGCTCTGCCGAAAAGTAATGGACGAAATTATTGCTTGCCACTTATCCGGTCTAAGAAGTTAATACGATACTGTTTAAATTTGAATTATACTCAATAATAGTGATATGACAAAAAAAAGAGATATGTAAAGCCAAAACAACAAACTCTACTCCAAAATGCCAATGAATTCCTCGCCAGATAAGCTCGCATCGTTTCAGTACTTTTATCAATGATGTGAAATGCTTCATGAAATCATTCGCCACTTTCACATCGCGTCTTTTTTCTCAAAACTTTAATCCTGATCATTCTTTCACATTGTGGTAGATGAATTGTTTCAAACACGCAGGTACGGTTTTTGCTATACAGTAAGACTTCCCTCAACACACTGTTTCAACTAAAGCATCACGCATAAACGTCGAACATAGCAATAACTTGACGACAGAAGCAAATGGCGAAGGTATCTTGTTCGTTATATATCAACAACAAACGCAGGATTTAATTTGAGTTGACCTTTTTTACGTCAGATACCGACCTCGGCAATAGCAGTCAATTGACCACTTGCTACAGTTCCTCTTTCGGATAAACTATTTTAACAAAAGAATACATATGAAATGACTTCACCATATTCTGCACACTCTATATTTCTAGTAAGGTGTTTGTCCTCAAGACATAATTACTACTAATGCTTTATTGTTACTGGATTGCTTAATTATAAGAACTATAAGCACTTGTATTCTATTGACAAGACTATCAGTTCATTCAGAGACCGTTTTTAAGACAAAAGTGGTTCATATTAGTAACTTTAAAAAAAATTGATAATTGAGCAAAAAATATGAAAACTCAAATCAGAAGTGGATTTTTAAAGAACCTATCTTGACAATCCTGTGAAATGTCCAATATTGATCTGAGAGGAAGCAAATAAACATGCAAACACAACAGTTAATGATTATTCTTGTATACATCATATAATACATGAAATATCAAATACATACATCACATAAGATAGTATAAGTAATATGACGTTTCTGATTTCCACCTAGAATAGTCTTCAAAGCTAACGCGATAGACATGTCGCGTTCAATACGCAACCTACTGAAAAATTTCCTCTAAAAAATCTTTCCACAATTTCGATGAAGAAAAGAACAAATTGTCAGAAAAATACAAGGTCATGTGATCAGACAATTATTATAGACTAAACTAGTAAATACAACTGTTCATGCCATACTTATTCAGGAGTTTTCAAGAGATAGGATTCAGGAGTTTTTTTTCAAGAGATTCAAGAGATTAGCTGTCATCACTCTAAGTAGAATTTTCCAATATATTTACTATGAGAATAATATAAAATTGGTAAGATAAATTCAGAATCTTTTCAGGAATTCTCTCTTTTTTAAACCAAAAAAGAATGCACAGCAAGTAATTCGAACTTTCTTCAGTAAAATTAAGTCAGCAGCAAACTAATTTCGATTAGCTTCGTTCAAAATCTGTAATATTCTCAGAAACAAGTTAATAATGTCTAAATACAACGATACGCATGCTTCGATGTAATCTTCAGGTGAAGTGTGATGCATAATACGATCAATGTCGAATATCAAATAGATGGAAAATAAAACAGCACCAAATGCAGCCATCAAGAAATCAAATAATGCTGATTGTAGAAATAACTGCAAAAAATGCTATTTCATTACTTAAATATTCTAAAAGTTACTGCGTAACAACTTTTAAAAATCCCATTTTCTGATAATAAAAATGTCTCATTATAAAGAAGCAATAAATTTAATTTGGTAGCTTTAAGTAATAATGCTACAATTCAAGTTTCTGAAAGTATTATATCAACAAAGTGCATTCAAACAAAACTTTATTAAAATTGAAAATTCAACAACTGAAATCTAAATGAAAATAATTTCTATTTAAAAAAAGAAATACTTACATTTGCAAAACAAACAGCTAGGAAAACTATAGAAATACTGAATAACGCAGCCCAATGACTTTGAAAATCACGCTTTGATTGGAGTGTATAAACGAAAAGGCCGGCAACAGTCACTGCTGTCAGACCAACTGCTTCAATTATGACCTTTACATCGAAGAAAGAGACTGAAATTTATCACAAATTCACAATTTCACAAATGTATTAAAATCTTCTCGATTCCGGAAAAGATCTGAAATTTATATTAATTTTACCTTCAAGAACAGATACTCATACGATTTATTTTTCGAAAACATTAGCGCTTCTTTATATTAACAGATATAATAACGTACATCAGCAGTGTTAGCTATTGCCCGATGGAATTTGGTATGATCCAAATTGTTCAGTATTATTTAACATTAACATTAACATTATTATACAATGTCATGTTTGAAAAGATTTCAAAGCTTGTTTGAATATTCATGGTGATAAGAAGATAACACATCGAAATACCCAATAATTTTAAAAATAAAATTCTTAGAGCCAAAGCTTAGTGATACCTCCCTTCCTAAGGATATCCTAACCTAAATAACGCATCCAGTATTACTATTCCCTCTATTTCCAGAATTTATGTTGCATTTTACATCATAGCTATTCTATGGCTTCACAAATAATAACGCTTTAAGAGCTTACCAATAGCACCTATAGTAATGGACTGCATGATAGTCCAAGATACCAATAATATATAGTTAAGAGGTACTGAACGAGAGTGGATAAACATTGCAAAAAGTAAAATGAATGAGCCGATTACAGAGGCAAGTACAATCCATAGTCTGAAAACAACACAGGTAATGTATCTTCTTCTACAACTCTTATTTTAGAATAAAATCAAAAACTACTGACGCCTAGACATTTGCCCCCTACACATGCATTACTTTTTCCTGAGACTGATTAGTTTCTTTTTCGTTCTTTAACGTCTGCAGCCAGATATGGTGTTTTTTCCATACTTCAATATGGATAGTTTTTCAAATTCTAAATAAAAATGATAATTTTGAAATCGAAACAAAATTGTGGCTAAGAACCCACTGCTGCTGCAAAAAAAGGCGAACTTCTGGCGTTACATATAATGTCGTGCAAAATACAGCTGTAATAAGCAACTGCAAAGATAGTATGCCGAAGACTTTTCGCAGAAATTCTGGAAATTATATAAATTGCATAAAATGTACGAGTAAGATTCTTTTACCCAATATCCACAAATAATCGTACAACTTTTATTGGTACATCTTTTATTGTAAATTTATTTACCAATGAACGATGTTTTTACCAATTTCATTTACCAATAAAAGATGTACACGTTATTTGTGGAAAGTTGCAATTATAGTGATGAGCAAAAAAAAGCCGTAGCATTTTTACTAAATTTCTAATCTAGGATTTCTGCGATCCTATACTACTAATACGTGTTTTTTATATTATGGCTATGGCTAAAATAATCGATGATAAATCATATGAGTTAAAAAAAATGAAACAATATGGATAATAATAGCAAACAGGACGATACCTAATCTAATAGCAACAGTGGAAAATATAACAGCTGTTAAATTTGTTGTTGCTTTGCTAGAATTAAAATTAAAAAACCAATGATGTTGCAATGGACGATTTTGCAATGTCCGTTTTCCATTCGCTGCTTCCTCATAACTGGGTGGTAAGCCAGATTCAACATCTTCTTCCAGGAGCAATGGTATTGTTGCTGACATAATTGTGTTAGAAAGCTGAAATCTTAATTATTCACTCCTTCAATTTCATTTCCCAAACGCTTCATTCATTTCAAATCCTTTCCATTATATTACTCTTCCTTCCCGTCTTTCATTATTTGAGATTTCCTTCACCGGTACCCCAAAATAAGTCACCCAGAACATCGACCATCTCCCTCACCTGTCACCAAATCCCCGGCTTCGCATCCCCGTGCACCATCGACGCATCATCACCACCCATCACGCAATCTATCGTTCCGAAAATCGTTGCCTATGTTACAGCTCCATTCTGCCATTCCCGCGGATCATAAACGTCGAACGGGACATGCCCGGCATTAGGGCTAGTCGGAAGCAACTTGTGGACCGTTATTCTTCCTGGATTGTATTTCCAGTCTATTCCCATCTATACATTTTTTCGAAATTTTTTCCATCCAATTGCAATGAAAGAAGAACAATTTATTGAAGAAACGAATAGCAAGCCATGATTAAGGACAACACAGATAAATATCAACAAAATCACAAAATGAATTAACTCTATTAATGTGAGCTTACCTCTGTCTCTCTTTTTTTTCTTTCTTCCCTCTCTCTCTCTCCTTCTTTCTTCTAACATTTATTTTCAATTTCCAAAAACCAAGAATTTTTAGCAGGTGTTTAATTCTTAATGAGTTAGTAATTCTCATTGTTCGTTCTTCTTTTCAAATTATAAGAATTTCTGCATATTTTACGAGTAAATTACTAAAAGAGAGAAAGGAAGAAGTGAAAGAGAACAACTTAATGTGAGGTGCCCCAGAACAAATTTTTTTGAAGTTTATAACAAGGAAAACTAGGATTTTAACTCCTGATTTTTAAAGAGAACTTGCTTTTACAATATATTTTAGTTAGCTTCAATGAATTTTCCACCATTGTGGCAATCATTGTCTTCCATCGCTGTAATTATTAATTTTCTAGTTGCAGCATTTCGTCGTTCCATACCGATCGATGTTACAATCGTAATTTTCATCGGATTTTAAAAAGCTTTCAGCCTTTTTATCATTGTTGAGGAATCGTGAAGATGAATTTCTCTTTTCGGTCCTGCAATGATGTAAAAATTTCCTCCTCAATTCAATTAATTCATGAAATAGACAAATTCCTATCAATTCAACTCCATTCTTTCAAAAATTTGTCAGTCTTGTAGAGATGATATTTGTTAATTTTCCTTGTAATCAGAATGATTATTCAAGTTCATTTAATTTGAATTTTTTCAAGGAGAAGACACACAAATCTGTAGAAAGTTATCAATTGAGAATAAAATCTTTATTTCATGGACTTCGTTTTTAGTTTGTTTTCAAGTTATTAAACAATTTTCATACCAAGTACCGGAATGTTGTTGTGGTCCTGCAATCTTTTACAAATTCTTCTTTATCAAAAGCAGAAATGTCTTTCAATTCCTTGTCAGTTGTCTGTTGGATACAATGCCTTTAATTTTCAGTGTAAGGGTGTTAAAATTTGACAATTACTTTTCGTGGTGTCCAAATTTTCCACTAGATTTTCCAAACATAAATGTTAATGTGTGATACTTCAAAAATAAATGTCGTTTTAGCAAATCTTCAGATTTTGGTTTCACAAAAAAGATTCCATAAAATTTAAACAGAATAACCTCATCCAAGATTGAGCTGACGTTTCATCGCTCTCATTGAGTAAATATGGTATGCTAAATTAAGCTATAAATCAAATTAATTAATTTCTTTACTGAAAATATTTTGAAAACTTTCTACATTTGTAAAAATTTTTTGTGTTATTTTCAAGCAAAATTAAAATATTTTATGCGAAGACGTGATTTTCCTAACTTATACAGCAATTTAATTTTCTTCTTGAAAGCAACAGTAATCTCTAACTTTTTATGGCATGACCAAAATACCAATTATTGTTTTTTCAACTTTGAGTAAATTTATTTCAACTAAAGTAAAATTCAAATATATTGAAATGAAGCTCTCATCCAACTTACTGATCTTTTCCAACGATGTTGCATTATCAGTCATTGATGATTCACGTTTGAGTAACATTTCTGGATCAATTCTGCAGGTAAGTATTTCTCAGATTGTTGAAATAAACCACTTTTTTAATGGGTAACCTAAATAGTTGAAAAAATTCTTCGAAGCATTATTCAAATTCTATGAGAGAAAATTGAAATTTTTATTGAAGCAATCTTATATATCCAGTTGGATCGAATTTCACAACATTAATTTGATTATTAGCTCCCGAAATAAATTGTATCAAACTCTGCACCGAACTAATTTCATTTTTTCTTACAGGAAGGGAAGATAAGTATACCTAATAATTGAAATTAAATGAATCAAATAAACAGTTTGGCAACTAGCTTTCCAGGACTTCGATGCACCAGACTTTTTAGATTTTCATAGATTATGATATTATAACACCCCATATATTTCCTTTCTGGCCTTGCCATTATTTAATCTTTGACTTGTTTGCTGTTTGAGTGCCTAATTTGATGAATGATATATGTATGCCAGATATTACGAGCAGTTTAGTTCAATTCCTTTGTTAGAACCGCGAAATGATAGACTTTTTACTTGAACTTTCCTCCACGGAATCATCTCTTATCACTTTTTCCACTTCTAAGATTGTTTTTATTGGACTTACTGATAACCTGATAGAAGCTTGTCTTGCTACTGCCATCGCTTTCCTGAAACAGCACTCTTTTTTTAGAAAAATAAAGTCTTCGAAAAATTTTCAGTTAAAATTAAAATGCTATCGCTTTTTATTATTTGTTGATTGATGAATTAATTATATACAGTGAGAATGTACAAATCAAATAAAAGTATAAAATTGAGTTAATAAATGAAACAGCCGTTAAAATGACGTATATTTACGAATGATTTGTTGATCTTATTCAATATGAAAAATCAATTACGAATAACGCGGTCAATTAATAACTTTCATATATTCATATATCAATCATTGATTGATAATACATCTTTACATCATCACAGAGATATTATGGAATGATAGGACTAACTTTTCCACGACACAAAGTATTATTATAACCAAATATGATTTGTAAATCATTGTTAACTAAACCAACGGATTAAACCATTTTCTGGCTAATATTGCGATTTTTATGCGCAGTTATAAAGAAGTCCAGCAAAGAGATGGTAAATCGAATAAAAAGAGTGTTTTAGAAAGCACTAATAACTTTACTTTCTGATGGGAGATTGCAAATTTCGCGGTGAATTAGGGTCAGCAATGGAATGATTCAGTTTAAATATTGCCTGGTCATTTGCTTCAGCTGTCCAGGCTCGTCGATAACGAAAATAAGAGTATATGTTGCAAGTAAATAATATTGTGTAACCAATTACAAAGATCCTTAAAGAAGGAAGAATTAATTATTAAATTTTTTATTTTCGATTTAAAAAGGTTTGCAAATAATCTCAGAGGTTAAAGCTTAGGATTTCTAAGCTATAGCCTTTGAAATTGTTTGCAAACATTAAATAAAAAAAATTTATTAAATAAATAGCTAAAAATTTTAAAAATTATAAATTGATTTGTTGTTCCGAGAAAGTAATTTCATACTGATTCGTATCTGCAGAATAATATTTTCGTGAATTATCATTTTTTTACAAATCTCAATAGTACTTGCTGGAGACATTTTCAAAAAAAAAAAAAATTAGAAGACAAAATAATTACGCTATGTTCACGTAAATTACTGCATGACATCTTTCTGTAGGATTTTGACGAATTAGTTTCTTAATAACAGCTAATTACTTTTTACTTCCTTTCCGTTGCGTGGCACTCGTGGCATTACAATTCGGATTGTTTTTCCGAATAATTTCAACGTATATGAGAATAACACAAATTTTAATTCCCTTTCTGCGCCACATTTTGTAAAATTAAATGCAATTTTTTCAAGCAAATCAATTTTGCAAAGTTAGCGTTATAGATTTGCTTGAAAAGAGGATAAAACATTTTGTTAGAATTTCTAAGCTTTAACCTTTGAGTTTATTTGTAAACCCTTAATAGTTCCAAAAATTAAATTAAAATATTGGATGAAATTAAATAACATTGAAAATAAACATTTTTTCCCAAAAAAAGACCTTGCCATCGAAAAATTCTGCGATTGCCCAAAAATTTTGTCGTATAACTAATCCTTTATTGCTATCTATGCTATAATTCGATCTGAACATATGCCTTTTTGAGTGTGACCGAATTGTTACAATAATTTTATCATTGCTTAATTTC